CCTTTTGGTGTTGAGTATCACCCCTCTGCACTGCATACACTTGGCATATTTGAGTCACCAGCCACAGAGCAAAACAGTTGTTTAGGTTTATGAATTGAGCTGTACTAATATAATAAAGTGAATTACTAAGAAGAAAATTGTTAATTTATTTGGCTTAATGACGCTCATACTTTCTAAATCTTTCTTTTCCATTGAAAATGATAAAAAAAATTATAATTTAATAAAGTTATGCCATGAATATTAATTATTAGTTTAATCTGGAAAAGACACTAGAAATTTTGTTTAAGAAAATTTCTCACTTTGTTTAATTAAAATTAAACCATCATTTAACCTTAATTTAACAATTAAACCAAGTTAATTATGAAAGCTACAAAAGCTTTCATAATTGGCTGAATTGTTAAATTCATCTCAAAATTCTGAATTTTACTTGATGATTTTATGAAAGATTTAGTATCATAAAAATTACTTATAAAATAAAATAGATATTTCTTCTTTTTATTCATTCTTATTCACAAACATTAATTTTCTAAGCAATGTACAGTTTTATTTTATTTTAGAACATTGCTTAGAAAATTGGCAAGTTTCAATAAATGGATGATAAATTACCACAAAGTCTATGAACAATCATAAAGGAACAAGAATTACTTAGAGCAACAAAAGAAAGGAAGCTGGGGAGAGCTATGATGTGTCATGAAGTACTGTGGCACATCAAAAGAGAATGTGAATAATGCATGTAAATATGGCCAAATAGCTACTTTTTGGTTTATAGAAGCTATACATCAAATTAACATTACCAAACTTGTAAAAATGATTTTCAATGCTATATTGGGATATTTTAAAGAGCTAGTTTTTCTTCTGTATGTGCCATATCCCTGCAGGACATAAGCGATCATGGCTCTGTACAATTTTCTGTCTTTTGCAACTCTAAATAAATTGTCTTTTCTTTATTTCTAAACCCTTTCTCAAGCTTGTTAAGTATGTTATGCAGTGTTTTCATCTGTCCATCTTGTTCTCAATCTGTTCTGTGAGTATCAGATTTTCCAAGCCCTCCTCCCTCATTATGTGTTGAAGAAATTTCAACTGTCTCTTCCTGATGTTAAGTATAAGTTTTCTTTGTTTCTATTTCCTATAAAACCCCATTGTTTCTCCTATGTTCATGGTATCCTCAGCATCTTTCTGTAGAACTAGATTTCTGTTGCTTTAAGTCACTTCTTCATCTTTGAGGAAATTGTTCAGCACTCACTGCCATCCAGTAGGACAGATATCACATAACAGTTCAATGCTCTTTTCTTTGATTCTAACAAAGTTTTTCTATCTCTTATTACTCTGCTTAGCTTCTGGAATGCATCTTTGGCTATCCCAATGCATCTTTAGATTTCAGTATCGCACTTTCTATCCTCTGTTAAAACATAGACTAGATATTTTAATTTTTTTTTACTTATATACCATATAAACAATACAGAACTACAATTTTTGTAACTAAAGATAATCAAAAATATTTTATTCTTTATTTATTTATTAAGCAAATATGGATTCAAAATTTCCATCAATGACTTAATGTAGGAACTATGATCTTTTAATTTTTCCCCAACAAATCTAAATAATATTATGATAATGATAGATCACTATCAGGAATTGCTCTTAGTTGATATGATAATGAAAGTGAACAGAGCAAATAATTACAATTGATGCACAAAGTTACAAATAAAAGACACACAGCCAACAGGATTAAAAAGCCTCTTCTTTGTAACTTTTTAAATGTATTAGTTAAAATCTGGATAAACAACAAGATTTAAAATTAACAAGAAAATTTAATTCTTCATTGAGGGTTTCAAAAGAAAAACCAATAGATGACATGAAAAACTTTTTGCAACTTCTAATTCATCCATGAAACAAATTAAAATAAAACAACTTCTATTGTTGCACTAAGATGTAAATAACATATATAACTATAAAAAGAAAAGAATTAATCTTTTTTGATGTGATGCTGCTCAGAAATCTTCTATTTTACATGTTATGTCCCTTCACAATGTGGGTGATCATGGTTCTCACTAACTTCCTGTGTACAGAAAGTTAAACACATTAAAAGGAAGCTTTAATGACATTGGAAAACAAGATCACCCCATGTAAAATGAGCCAAGTAAAAAAAAGAATTGGATAATGGATTAAATTCTTGACAGGATATAAAAGAGACATCAAGTCATATCAAAGAATGGCACAGAATACAGGAATAATGAATTCAAACATTAGGAACAAATGCAGACAAGGCAAAAGATGCCCAGAAATACTGTTGGCATATTCACAGGATACGATCAGGTGATTCTATAAATCCTAGTAACAGATAAGCTTTCAAGTCACAGTACAAGAGATTTAGTGAATAGAAAAATATTTTCTCAAAGATTATTTTACTAATACCGAAGAGGGAAGAAAAATACAAACAAGAAAACCTTGTTTCAATTTTATAATAAATGATGTGTCTAGTCTCACCACATGACTCAGCTGTGGTCAGTTTGGCTTTCAGATAATATATTTTACTTACATATTGTCACCTATAATCAATGTTTTGATTTTAATTATTAGCATAAATCATTATTATTTTATCAGCTGGTGAGTAGTAAAATTGTAGCAGTTGTTTAAAACCATAAGACTACAGATCAGCGTAAAAGCTTATACAAACTATTGGACTTATTGATCAATATCCATATTGACTAAGTTTAGCCATCTGTTCTGACCTTATGTTTTGTCCACATCATCACCTCTATTGTTGTCTATTTATTTTGCCTAACAACAAATGGCCATAATGATAGTTAACATTAAATTGTGGCAACAACTTGGAGTTTTAAGAATGACAATACCACAGCTGCAGTTGTTGCTGCTGTTTTCATTCAATGATTATTTGGCCTTGTTTTGCTGCTGTCTTATTTGCAAAGGGCCTACCTTATGTTGGGGCTACAATGACAGATGGCATCAGCTTGTTCAAAACACTCAACAGCCTTAATCCCAAAAGGATCAAGATAAAAGATTTTTGAAAATTTTTAACTCTATATCAACTGCTTGCATGGAGTTTAACTAATAATGCTCCAATTGATAATTCCATAACAGTTACACTACCTTAAATTTATAAATTTGTGAAAAACAAATTTTGTGCTTAAAATTAAATTCTAAAAAATTACATAAAAATAAATCACTTGTTGCTTTGATAACACTTATGAAATTTTGTGTAGGAGGTTTATTATTCTTTTGAAAAATATAGAAAAAAAAACAAAAAACAATGATTAATTCATTTCCAGTTTCATAGGAATTCATTATGAAAAAAAATGAGGTGCAATACATTTATAATATATTTATATACATTACGTATAATTAAGTAACTTAAAATGGCTTTTTAATTTTAATGTCCCCAAAATGAAGCTGCTCTCCTTCAATCATATAAGTGAACCTTTTTTGTCTTCCATTGGCATGGCTGATACTAACCTCCAGGAGAGTAAGTCATTACAACTTTTTGGTTTAACAGTTTCCACTGACATGAGGTGGACTGATTATATTGCATCAGTTACTAAGTCTACTGGTAGGAAAGTTGGTTCACTCTGTCATACTAGGCAATTTGTCCTGCTAGAATCTACCATGCACCATTATAAATCTACCATTCATTTGTGCATTGAATATGACAGCTGCATCTGGTTTGGTGCTTCTGCTATTTATCTAGAGATTCTTGACACAATACAAAGTGTCTTCAATATCATTGGTTCTGACTGGGTGTCTCAGGTTCAGTTACTTTCCAATTGCCATAACATAGCTTCCCCGTGCCTTTTCTATAAATATTTTTATTGTAATTGCTCTGATGAGAATTTCTCTTTGGTACCTTGACTTCATGAGTTTAAGCACATTACTAGTTTGGCAGTTAGGTATCATCATTTAATGTTGAAATTGTTTAGTGTAAGCATAAGTTCTATTCTAATGATTTTTTTCTTTCACACTTCTCACCTGTGGAACTCTTCCAGCTTTTTACTTTCCTGTCAACTACAATCTTCACCATCAACTTCAATAAATCACTATCTTCTGTCTCCTTGAATTCTGTTTTTTTAATATCCTCTCTCTCCCTCTCTTCCCAATGATTTCTCACTCTCTTTCACTATCAGTAACCCCTTGAGTCTTAATGGTGAAATGATAAAAAAAATCTTCTTTATAAATCTTTTTTTCCTTTCTTTAATAAAAATGAAAACATTTTTTGTACACATAGAAGAGGAATCAAGGGAATATTTTTAGTCATGAAATGTAAACAGCCAAACTTATATGCTTCAGAATGTGAAGGATTATAGTTCTCAACAACTTCACTGCAAACAATGTAAAAAGAAATAATAACAAATAAAGGTATACCTATATTTTTGAAGAGGAGGAACAGTGGAGTAATGGATAGTGGCTCAGATTGAGGAATCGGAGAGCCAAGTTCGAATTTCAGTTGAATCCATCACATTCACTTACATGCTAATACTCTTGGGAAAGGTGTAAATCCTCTTTTTCTCCCCTTAGCTATGGGTAAATAGCAGAACAGACCAGATTCTATATCCTTGGATGGCAACTGGTCTACCGCAGAAAGAAATGGAAACCTATTGCAAGAAAAAATCTGCCTCATCAGTCATGTATCAAAAGATACATGATCGCCTAAGCATAGCACATAACTGAACTGATATTTTTGAAAAGGTTGGAAATTACAAACATAATATGGCATGTATTGATTTGTTTTCTATGGCTTATCAACCATTTGCAGGTTATTTAAAGCCAGAATATATTTATATTTTTAGATTGTAAGAATTTTGTTTGAGATGATAATTTGGTGATAAAAATCTTACTAATTAACCTATAGCCATGGGGATAAGAGGGGATTCATACCTTTACCAAGGATATTTGCTTGTAATATAATGAACCCAACTGGAATTGGAACTCGGCTCTTTGATTAACAATTCCAAGTCATTATCCATTACACCACTGACACATTCAAGCTTACAGCACCTAGTATTCCCAAGTGGTTACCCATCTAGGTAGTGACCAGACTCAATGTTGCTTAACTTTGGTTATCATATGGGAACCAGTATTTCAATATTATATGGCTGGAAGTCAATATTGGTTTTCATATGTGGTTCTTTTTTTTTTTTTTTTTTTGGTAATTACAACAGTATGTAAAAGTGATGATATGAAGCTGTATTAAGGAATTCAAGAACAACTGGACATATCAAATTGATTAAAAATTAAGAATAAAAAGGAAGAATACTTTAAGGCTGTTTTCATACCTGGTGCATTCGGATCATCTGGTTTGACACCATCAGGATTAAAAGCTGCTTTCTCTTCTGCTTCTGGTTTAGCAACTTTAACTTGCCGTGCATTTGGCTTCTCTTCATGGTCCATTTGATGCTCTTCATTTTTAATTATTTGGACATTAGAGTCCTTAGCGTCCAATGTGTCCTTGTCTTTGTTTTGCAAATTGGGTTTTGGAATAAAGGCATTCCGATGTGGGTCATTGTTATCTTTATTATTATTATTATTATTATTATTGAGACTGTGACTACCTTGGGTGTTTTCACTGTTTCTTATATCTCTACTGTCAGCGATATTGTTTGGTTCCTGGAATGTAAAGAACCGTCGGTCATTGTATGCTAACACAAACACCATGAAAAACCACAGTGTTGGAATTCCTATGATGGCCTTGAATATAAGACTGCGTCGTCGCCGGAACAAACTAGCCATTGCTTCTTCCAGCTGTTGATGTCGCAAGAGCTGCGGAGTGTTCCTTGAAGATAGAAATACTGATGAGGCTAATTTTGTGTGTCCATCATCATTATATTTGCATAATCTGAAACAGGAATAAAAGATGAGTAATTAAAAGGATCAAATATTTATAACTTATTAAACATTTGAATAAAATTCAGCTTTAAGTAAATTCTAGAGAAGGCAATGGGAAACCACTCCACTATCTTCCCCAAGAATGTATGGAAATTTATAGATAATAAAAAAAAGAAATCTCTAGAGAGACATAATCACCAAAAATCCTGAACGGACATGGTATTTAAAAAGACAAAAAAAAAAAAAAAAAATTAGTTTCAGTGTCAATGCAAAAAGCCCATAGTAAAAAATGTGACAAAATATTTTAACTGATATAATTCTGTTAAAAAATAATGTACAGGAGAAAAAAAAAAAAAACAATTGTAAAAATAAAAATATGGAAGAGGGTCAAAATGTTTAATTGAAAAGACAGATATGTTTTGTTCTTAAATGCTGCATTTAAAACATATTAATTTTTTGTGGTAGACTTTTCTATATTTGCAGGTGAGCAAATAATTACATGTGATATGAAAAAGGCAAATTCTAAGAAAGATAAAGAAAAATAACTTTTCAAAATAGAAGGAATGTACAACAGAATGGCTACACAATATGGAAAAGCAATTCCCTTTAGCAAACCAGAGGTGGACAATATGCATGCTGAGTCAGTTGGCAAAACAGGTTCTATGCTTTTCTTATCATGACTAAACATCTGACAGGATTCCTCTGTGACAATAACAATAACTCAATCATTGCAACAAATGGAAAAAGAAATCTTTTCTTCATAAAATTCCATTCAGTTTGAAACAGCTTCCAGCAAAATTTTGAAACAGTTTAAATTATTTTACTGTACTTTTTTATGTAATTTTTTTTTAAAAGCTGTATATAATGGAACAGACAAGTTTTAGCAGATATGCCAAAGGGAATTTTTTTAAGATATGGTATTAATAAACAACTAGTTGAAGTTATGAATTAATAAACTCAAAATAAAAAAATGATCATATCCCTTGTAGAAATAAATGATACAAATAATACAAACTGGTTCAGAACTTAAGAAAAATTTGCAATAATGAAATGTCAATAAAAAGTCTGCAGCTTAATGATGAAAAAAAAAAATGTTTTTTTTTTATCATTAAGCTGCAGACTTTTACACAATATACTTTTTTCAACAAATTGTCCTTCCTTGTTAATGCACTTAATTCAGTGATCAATTCTTAGATTAAATGCTATACAGTGAAAATATCAGACCAAAATTCAGCTGATCCACACTCATATTAATCTACATTATGAAAATCTTTGAGTGTATAAATGGAAATTTCAGTTGATAGCTTGTCAGTTCAAAAAGAATTTATTTGAGTAACAAATTTTGAATAAAGAATCTATATCCTTTCCAGCATGTAAAGTTTTTGTGCAATTAATTATTAGCATAATTATATTGAATAGAAATATATTTGAGAAGAATTTATATGAAGAGTCATAGTTTTCAGGATTTAGCATTCTTTTTTTTCTCTTTAATATAATATTTTTGGTCAGTGTGTCTGTTAATGTTTTGCCTGATATAACAGGCATCTTCCTTTTGTTTTGTTTTTTTAAAGATTTCTATTTACTGAAACCTGTGAAGTATTTGACATATTTTATATTGCAGAATGATCACTTAAAAGAGCAAATCTCAGAAACAGGATGAGCAATAACAGAGCAGTTGTTAAAAAGATATTCCTAAACATGGAGAGTGGAATGAGAACAATCTACCCCTGCAGATTAAATAAAAGGTTTAGTTTGAAATCACTGAAGATTACTTGGATCAACACACATCTGAAAAAGTGATTGATTTCTTTTTTTTTAATGGCTTATCAACCCTTAATTAGTTATTTAAAGACAAAACATATTTTTGATTGTAAGAATAATTTGTAAAGGTACCAAAGAGGAAAGACCATCAGAACAATAATAAATTTGGTAAAAATACAAAATATGTTTAACTATTGCCATTACAAGGTGGGATAATTAAAAATAGTGCTTTTTATTTTTATGAGTGAATATTGCATTACAATTTTTTTTTATTTCAATGATTTTTCCAGATACAAATCCTACTATTTAACCCATAGCTGGGGGATAAGAAGAGATGGATTCATAACTTTCTCAAGTGTATTTATGTGTAAATGAATTTTACAAACTTGACTGTAATTCGAACTCTGCTTCCCAATTTCTCATTTCAAACCACTATCCATTGTATCACCTGCATATCCAACATCTGAAGAAGGCTAGAAGAGTACAGTAACTGAAGCATTATGATGATAATAATAAAAAAAGATGTGGATGTTAGTTCAACTGTACATAATGTAAATAACTGAACAACCAAAACAAGATATCCCCAGACATGGATAGCAGAATGAGAACAATCTACACCTGCAGATTAAATAAAGGATTTAGTTCAAAATTCCTTTAAGCTTATCTGGATCTACAGACACCTGGAGAAAGCCGGAAGGCACCATGGCTGAAATATTGTGATAATAACAATAAAGATAAGGACATTTGTTTGACTGTAAATAATGAAGAGAAAAACAAAAGAGTTGCTTCTAATGTAAACTGTAGCAAGCATGAAAAGTAAGCATAATTTTATGAAGAAGCATCAAAAAACTAAAATTTAATTTTTAAAAGGAAAACTTCATAGATTAAATAAATAGTGCAATTCAAAATTCCCTGAAGTTTAATCAGATTGACAAACACCTGAAAAAGGTCAGAGAGCACACCAGCCAAAATGTTGTGATAATAGCAACAAAGTCTATTAGCCTAACTGTAAATAATGAAGGTGTGCAGCAGAATCAGGCCAGAGATAGGACAAGAACAGTGCGGGTTCATTAAAGACAGCGGAACAAAGAATGCAATATTCACGCACAGAATGTGATCAGAAAGAATACAAATGCAGAAGGACGTTTATCTATGTTTCATAGACTACGCAAAAGCCTTCAACAAAGTAGACCACAAAGATCTGTTGGAACTGCTCAGCAACTTTGGTATATTTGGGAAAGATATTAGAATAATCAAGAACCTATACTGGCAGCAAATAGCATGTATGCACATAGAGAACAAGTGTGGCAAATATATAAAAATAGAAAGGGATGTAAGGCAAGGATGTGTCTTCTCACCAGACCTATTCAATCTGTACAGTGAGGCAATTCTGAAAGAATTGGAAATCCTACCAGGATTCAACATTGGCAGCCATAACCATAACAACATAAGATACGTAGATGACATAGTACTGGTAGCAGACACGGAAAAGAAATTACAAAACCTCCTGCAGAAGGTAGTGAAGGAGAGCAAGAAGAAGGGACTAAGCATAAACTACAAGATGAGCCTGAAATATGATTTGCAGGTCAGGGACATTAAAATCAAGCAGGTGTGAAATTTAAATATCTGGGAAGTGTTTTGACAGACACTGAGATCTGTAGATGTATTGGGATGGTCAAGGATGCATTCCAAAAGCTGGATAGGGTATAGTGAGGCAGGAGGATTTCTTTGGTAACAAAAAAAAGAGTATTGAGCTCTCATGTGATATCTGTCCTCCTTTACGGCAACAAATACTAGATGGTCTCCTCAAAGATGAAGAAGAGATTCAAGGCGATGGAGATGTGGTTCTACAGAAGGATGCTGAGGATATCGTGGACCTAGCATGTGCGCAATGATGAGGTCTTGGAGAGGATGTAAACAAGAAGGAGTCTTATGTTTAATATCAGGAAGAGGCAGCTGAAATTTCTGGAACATGTAATGAGAAAGGAGGGCCTGGAAAATCTGATACTCACAGGTTGAATAGAAGGAAAGAGAGACAAGGGAAAGCAATGCATGACATACCTGGTGGGGTTAAGTAAGTGGATGATAGAATGTGGTCTTGGGGAGGTGGCAGAAGGACAAAACTTATTGAGAGCCACCAGGGATAGGGGAAGTGGAGAGCCATGATTGCCTATGTCCTGAAAGGATACGGTACATAAAAAGAAAAGAAGAAATAATGAAGTGAAAAAAAAAAAAAAAAAAAAAAAGTTGCTTCTAATGTAAACTGTAAAAACTATAAAAAGTGAACATGATTTTATGAAGAAATATCAAATAACCGAAAGTGAATAACTTCTAAAAGAAAACTCTTGAGACATTCACTTTCTTTATGTTTATACAAAAATAAAATAAAGGGTTGAGGCACAACTTAGATTTTTTTTCTAAATGACTAATCCATAAATCTGTTAAAAAGTATACCACCACATAGAAAAATAAAACAAAGTTATTTTTTTTTATAAAGGAAATGCTATTTTTTCTTTCTAAATTTGTTTATATAAAATGACATTGTCATATAAATCAGAGCCAAACTTTTCAACCTCATCAAAAACTGAATCTTATTAAACATTTCAGTGCATTTCAAGTAAAGTGTTTGATACTTTCATCTGAATTGGATATATAAATGATGTCAATGGAGAGATATGAAAGGAAAAATTTGAAGCGTAAAACTTGAAAAAGATGAAACTTTAAAACATAAAATATGCATTAAAAACATAATTTCTTGACTATGCAGACATTTCATTTTATTTTAATAATCAATTGGGACCCAAGCCAAATTGGATTGGAATTTCCATCTCCATGAATTGATTGAAGATGAAAATCAAACCTATCTTGTCATATAATCTTTTCTTTCTGCTTTTCCTTTCTTTTTTTTTACGATTCAATTTCTTGTGTCTATTATGTCTGTCTCTCTTTTCTCAGCAAATCAATGATTTATGAACATGTCATGAACTTATACACTGAGGCAGACTGTACAGTGGTGAATGTATAAGAAGACACTTTCAAATATAGCTGTCTCAGATGGATCATTAGGTAAAAATATGTTCTCGTTAAAGCAAATGCATTTCTGACATGGTGATTAATTTCTTCCACTCTAGCCGAGCTGCAGCATCAACTTATATAGTCAGGTCCAGTTTTAAGTCAACTGGATGTCCTCATAGATGATGGAAGAAGGTTTTCTTGTTTAATTCACAAGCATTTCATGGTGTCTTATCT